AATCTTGCCAACCCTTGCTAGGGTTTTCTAGGAAGGGGGAAACAAACGAAGTTTCCAAGATCTTCTTGAAGGCAGTTCTTTATCTAGAAGAGATATTTATAACATCTCAGACATCCGTACCAACAAAATGTACTGGTATTTCTGGGATTTCATGAAGAAAGCATGTAATGCTCATGCAGAATTCTAATTTTCACAAAGTCACTTTTGAATCAATATGCAGTTGTGAGATCAGATTTTTTTATCTTAGAATGAAAAACATACCTATTTTGAGCAGTGGTAAATTTAATAATAATTTGTTCTAATACCTACTGATAATGGGAGAGTAAAAAGAAACAACATTTTCCTCAGTATAGAAAAAGTAATCTTGCAATGGTGAGGGGAAAAAAAAAAAAAGAAAGCCCTCTTGGATAATACTATTTCCCTCCTTCCTTCTAAAGAGTTCCTTTGCCAGTCTATTTCTTTACCTACTATCCTTCCTTAAGCCCAGGTGATGAGACAAAGCTCAGTGTCATAAACTTTTGCACAAATAAGGCCTATCAGCTACCCTGCAACTCCCCTTCCATGCAATGGAAAAAAGCTGCTGGTTTGCCACCACCCAGTCTCCTACTGCTACCTGGTATGAAAGAAACATGGGGAAGTGACCAGTAGATTTACACCGTGTCAATAACTCTAAGACAACAGAGGTTTTATTTAACTTATTCTGGGGAGCAGCTGACCACTGCCAGGATATGTGCTTTGATGCTGCAGTGAGAAGCTGTGCAGTCAGCAGCATTGTTTTATTTGCCAGAACCAAGGCAGGAGCACACTCCCTCTCACACACCCTCTGCAAAGATTATTCATCACCACAGCAACCTCCAAACAAAGGTGGGAGCCAAGTCAAAGAGCCCTGTTCCTCTGATGACAGAGGATGAAGGGTGTTCTCTGCCTGCACCCTACGGGGGACTTGTTTGCTTGGGTTTGTGTTTATGTTATTGGATTTAATTTACTAATTTAACTTCCAGCAGCCCAGCATGCATGCCCAGAGCACAGAATGGCCACACTTATGCATTCAACAAAAAAATTCTATAGCCCCACTTAAAGGGAGAGAGAAAAACCAGCTGGTATACAACTCCTTCTTGCCACACAGCTGAGCAAATACCACACTCTTCTTACATATTCCCATCACCCCCTACACAACAGGAATAGCTGTAGTAAAATGAACACCCCACCTAAACCCAAGAAAAGCTCAACCTGTTTAACTACCATTTCATCCTTCCTCTACCCTCACCATTTCTTTTCTTCACATCCTCTTTCACTCCACAGGAGATTAATGATTTTGGATACGTCATGAAAATCCGACCGAGACAGTAAAATAACTGCAAACTCAGCACAAATGAAATGTAGAGTGTCTTTTTTTTTCCCTGAATCTGGAAAGAAAAAATGCCAATGTTTCCCAAGACACTTGAAGAAAGAGATTATGATCATTTTTAAATCTTTTCAACAAGCCATGAGATAAAAACACTGCCTATAATGACAAGCTGTCAACACTCGGCAAGTAGCATAGCTCTCATTTGTGACACTGATCTTTCACCTGCAGAGCTGGGCACATGGGCACCAGCAGCCACACCACATGCAATGACAGTACTCAAAATACCCAGATTTCTCTATTTCTCTAAAAGCACATCCCCCACCCGAGCAGCCAGGTCTCAAGATTTAAAAGATAGGGTAACCATTTGTTTTGAAATACAGGATTAAAAAAAATTCAATGGTTCCTAGGAATTTTGGTTTTTAAATTGCAAACACAAGTTGATTGGAGAGGATAACAAAATCTCATTATCTCCCATTTACTCCTGTCAAGAAAAAGAAATAAGTTAAATTTTGTTGTAGTGAAATCACCAGAAATACCCACCTAACTTCAATGATTCATGGATCTAAACAAACTGTATGCTAAGAAAAGAGTCGTTTGATTTATAGCAATTGCTTATACTAATGTTTTTCTTAAGTTTATAAATAATCACTGATTGCTAACCATTCATCTTTTGTGGCCTTATGATGGTTTATTATTTCTGTCGGTGTGTTTCAGCCAACAATGACATGAGACAGGAGGTTGATTTATCTGATTCTGCAATATTTATATTATCCAATCACTTTGGTGATTTGGTACTTCAAGGGAGCCTATAGGAAAGATTAGGACAGACCTTTTAGCAGGGTCCATAACAACAGGACAAGGGATAATGGCTTTAAACTAAAAGAGGTTTGCATTAGAAAAGGACGTTTTTTACCAACGAGGGTAGTGAACAGGTTGCCCAGAGAGGTGGTGGACAGCCCATCCCTGGAAACATTCAAGGCCAGGCTGGACTGGGCTCTGAGCAACCTGACCTAGTTGAAGATGTCTGCCCATTGCTGGGGGGCTGGACTAGATCTCCCTTCCAATGCAAAATATTCTATGACTCTATTATAATACTGCTCTGACACTATAATTAAGAAGAAGTAGAAATAAAAAAAAAAAAAAGAAAAGAAAGCATAATATTTTTTAAAAAGTATGAGAAAATTCACGTTACAGATGGAGGTTCACACTGCAGTTTCAAGAGATCACACTATATTTGCAGATAGCAAAAAGCAATACAGTGGGATTTGGAAGTAAAGTGCACAGCACCATTTAACCCCAAGTGCAGGACACTCTCCACGTACTTTGCACTCAAAAAGCTCTATGCTCTATAGTGCTCTCAGAAATAGCAGAAAAAAAAACCCCAAACCCGCATTTGAGCTCACACACATTTCTTAAGTGCAGCCACAGGCAAACCCATCGCACTGGATGTACTCATAGCCCAAGGTGATTTATATCACAGCATAATCACTAGCTGACGTGATAAGCAGGCCTTGGCTGACTCAACCTTTATTTGTGCAGTACCTTCCTGATATTCTTGGGTTTTGGAAGAAAACTCTCCACCTGGAGATGGTTTCCCACCCAGGTTACAGGGGAGCAAAGGTTATTGCCTTCTCACCCATGCTGGCATTCTGAGTCAGACTAGGACTTCAGCAACTTGTCTTAAATAAATTTGTGTCCTCCCTGACCAAGACACAGACATGCTTCCATTATAATTATTAGGCTTCTGGAAAAATCTGTGGTCTCTAACTTCTAATAATTGAAAATCCTTACTGGTGGAAAAAAGGTGCACCTACACAAGCAATAATGATTTTAAATAAAAAAAAACATTGCCTCAATTACTACCTTGCATTATTTCTATGCACTCTGAAAATCAATTTCAACAATTTTAAAACCTTTCTCCTCCAAAGCTGCTGCCATTAGCACTAAAGTTGTTATAATATTTAAGTCCTGGGGTTCAGAGTTCTCCAGTAGTAGAAAGGAACTGCATATACCATCAGTGGCTCCCAAGATAGCAGTTGTTACGCTTGAACTGAAGCAGGAAGAGCAGCAGCAATAAAAAGGAAGAAACTTAAGGACAGGTATCTTCCCACTTCCAAAAATACAACGGCTATGTGACAACAGCACCAAATTTGTTTTTCCAAACTTTCCATTAATTAAAGCCTACTTGTTTTATCCTGGCTTAACAGGCTACTGGACCTTGAAATAATGTACTTGAGTTCCTTGTTCTGCCTTTGCCTCCTCCAGCATAGAGCCAGAATTACCCTCATAATTTTTCAGGCCAGAGTAATTTTCCCACTCCACTGCTAATCAAGATAGCATGTATAGCTCAGTAGAGCACTGACCTTCAAGTTTTTGTCCACATATTCCAACAAGCACTCTTAACAATATGGTAAGAGCCTGAAAGAGCCAAACAAGAGCCCCAGATGTGTATTATCCTTCCTGCACCCATCCTTCCAGGGGGTTCCTTCTACCTTCTCCAAAAGACACCTTCAAGTGCTTCTGCATAAAGCACCATCAACTCTGATATTCACAGGATGGTTCAGCACCTGATGCTGAGCTGTATGTTTTAATGGGATCCCATCCATGTACAGAGGGGCTACTTCCCCCAAATTCCACAGAGATGTTTAAATGATTAGCTATACCTAAGGGCACATACGTTGTTTTTAATAGCAAACGTGCGCTTTGCAGACCAGGCTGCATCTCATCAATAATTCCTTGGTGCCACACTTCCAGGAAGACAGTAGTCAGCCCAGTACGACAGTCTTAAATAAAGCAGGGTGTTACAAGGTGTGAGGCAGCACTCCACTCATTCTGCCAAAGAATCACAGCACTTCAGCTTCTGGAAGAAGCAGATTGACATTGTTTTATCAAAAAAAATCACACATGGGAGAAACTGACTAGAAACCACCTTCCCCTCAAAAAAAAAAAATTGCTAGCTATTATCTTTAGCAGAGAGGGTATGTCTAGTATTGAAGTGAAAACAGGATCACACCTCAGAGGTCAAAATAAGCACACTCTTTTCTTTACAAAGTATCTTGATAAGGAAGCTGGGGATGAAGTTTGACTGTGCATAGCCAGGCAGAGATTTAGATAGGAAAAAAAAAAAAAGCCCGAACACCAAAATCCATGCACTTACATAAAAGGCTTTGGGTAGTTTCATTTTCTGTTCAGCTGGAAAGGAACTGAACCAGCACACACGCACGCATTTTTAATCACCCTCATGCTGACAGCAGCCAGTCACTACTTCTGTTATCAGAACCCCACAGCTTGCATTACCAGGCTACAAAGCCCTAAGGAAGAGGGTATAAAATCTCCTCTGATTAAAAAGGCACAGTGATACCATCTAGTATAACACACAAATGCTACAGATTTGATGCTTGGCCTCACCAGGATGTTACTCACTGAGTGGAGAGAAACAAGAAAATAATCTGTAAACGTACAAAGAAATAGGAAGGATTTCCTAAGATTAGATGGTAACCTGGATCAGTCATTTTCTCTAAGCTCGTCAGTCACTCTCTGGGAAAGACAAGCAAGGCAGGTGGGTCTTTGCATCCAGAAACTTACAGTTTGCAACAAGGTGTCAGTTGTTAAAGATCCAGAAAGCAAGAAGCTGTGCTTACATACAACTCACCAGTGATGACTCGAGCAAATGCCACGTGCCTGGGATTAAAACTTCAACCCGGGTAGGCCCTGTCCCTGCCACTGCTTGATTCACCTCAGGTGGCTGGCATGTCTCCAGTGTCACTCAGAAAACAGCTGCCCAACAGGTCAAATCACTGAAAAAAGAGAAAAGAAACAGGTTTAGCTTTGCAATTCCAATGCACATTATATAATGAGTTAAGACTTGCTAATCCCTGACTTCTTAAAATGTGATTTCCCTTACTGCATGATAGGGAGAAGTATAGTTCTGGTTAGATGTCATTCACTGCTGTCAACATGTGAACTTTCTAAATACCAGTAATAACAAAAAGAACTCCTCTGTACAGCTAGCAGGAACCTCATACTCAGGATAACTCAACACCTTCCACCCTAAAACAATTTTGAATCTGACATTCAAGAATTAGTCCTTTTCTATTTCATTTCTTTAGTCATATCTAGCCATTTGTTCTAGCCTATCTGTAATACAAGTCACTTCCAGTTTCATAGCTGCACCACTCCAGGCACTAGCCAGTCCTTCAAATTTTACCAAACCTGCCCAGTTTACAGTGGAATTTTCTTATGAGTTGCTCTCTTTAGGACACCATTTTGACTTTGACATTATCCCAATTCTGTGACTTCTATGAGAGGTTCCTCTCCCTTTCCCCTGCAGGGTCAACCCTGCAGTGATGTTTTCCATTTTACAATAAATCAAATTAAAAATAATTTAAAAGTACAGGTCGATTTGATATAGCAACAGAACTGGGAAGAAGCACTAAAAAAGTCAATTCAGTAACAGAGCAAGTGACAACAGGTCAATCCAGTCAATCTGAATTGATCCAGTAGTTGCATATTTATATAGGAAAACAGTAATATATTGAGTTAGTTTATGTACTAAACCTTATTAGTTTGCTTACTAATATGACCAGATTATAGTAGCGGTTTCTGTTAATCACCTATTTCTGTCAAAGCCGCAACATTTTAATATTTGAAAGGGAGATAGACATTTCTTGGTTTTCTGACCAGGAAACCTTCACTGAAGAAAGGTAAGATGCAGGCATAACACCTTAAGGCAGCACAGGCTGCCTTCCACCCATACTCATTTCCCAGCCATGAGTCTCAGCCTTTCCCAGCTCACTGACCTCAGGTAAGGCCCTCTATGCCTCCATGCCCACTTTCTCCCTTGCAAAACATGGATAAAGGTGCCAGTCTTCTTAATGAAATACACAGCAAGTGCTGAGGAGCACTCGGAGCCAGGTATGGTTAGTAGCACATCCAGTGCTTATACCCTGGGTCAGTGCAAGAGTGTTGACATTGATTTCAGAGTAACCAAGGTCTAAGGCTGAAAAAGCAACAGAACAAGGAGCCTTTGAGAACAATCACAGTGAGACCTTCCTGTGTGCATGTCTCAAAAGGGCTAGGGGGTATATGCCAAAGAGGAAAAAGGAGCATGTTCAGAAGTTACCTCTAAACAGATCATGGTCAATAATAAAGCTCTGAGACAGGGGAATATGTTTAGCTGCATGCAAACCTATACGTAACTATATCTACGTATATGTATGGACAAAGGCAAGTATAGGGTACTGCACCTGGGCAGGAAAAACCCAAGTACCAGCACAGGTTGGGGACTGAACTGCTAGACAGCAGCTCTGCTGACAAGGACCTGGGAGTCACGGTGGGTGACAAGTTGACCATGAGCTGGCTGTGTGGCCTTGTGGGATCCTGGGGTGCCTCAGGAAGAGTGTGGCCAGCAGGTTGAGGGTGGTGATCCTGCCCCTCTATTCCACCCTGGTGAGGCCACATCTGGAATATTGTGTTCAATTCCCCAAAGTTCAAGGAAGACAAGGAGCTACCAGAGAGGGTCCAGCAGAGGCCACCAAGATGATGAGCGGTCTGGAGCACATCTCTCTTATGAGGAGATACTGTGGGAGCTGGGTCTGTTTAGTCTAGAGAAGACTGAGGGGACCTCACCAATATATATAAATATCTCAAGTGTGTGCCAAGAGGGTGGTGCAGGATTCTTTTCAGTGGTGCCTATTGACAGGATGAGGAGTAATGGTCATAAACTAAAATACAAGAAGTTCCACCTCAGCATGAGGAAGAACTTCTTTACACTGAGGGTGGCAGAGCACTGGAACAGGTTTTTCCCTGTGTGTGCAGGGTGTGGAGTCTCTGTCTCTGGAGACATTTAAAACCTGCCTGGACGTGTCAGCTGCTCTAGGTGACCCTGTCTTGGCAGATGGGTTGAACTAGATAATCTCCAGAGGTCCCTTCCAACCCAAACTAGTAATTCTGTGTGATTCTGCAAGTCTGCTAAGAAAATACCCAACATTAGCACCTTCATTGTTTCCAAGCTCCTTATTCTCTGAAATTTGTGACAGGTTTTGGGATTCTCATCTGAAAGCCAATGTAAAACAGAAGAGGATTTCAGTGGTCAGTTTCCGAGCTCCTCCTTGCTAATATGATTCTACTATTTGCAGCCCTGGACATGAACACAGTTAATGAATAATGACTTTCCAAACAAAATATCAGACAATGATGGGAGGGGGAGAGAAGGGTGAAACAACTGTGTGGGCAGCTTGGATTGGATTTGGCAACAATTAGAAAAATTGATGCCCTTTTAATCATAGGAAAAGGCTTTGCTGGAAAGATAAGACAGACATGACATTTAAAATACTTTAGTCTTTGGATTTAAATGTATGGAAATTGAAAGTTCAAAAAGGTGGGGATTTTCATTGTGTTTTGTTTTTATAATAAACAATATATAGCTCTTTTAAAGTTTACATCCAGATGTGTGTGTGTAAACCTTCAGCTCACTTCAAAGCTGTTGCAGGAGAGATTTGTTTTATTTTTATCACTCTCTGCAAATATTACTTGCTACAAGTAGGACTGTCTCCTACAAGGTACAAAATGTCTTTCATTTCCCTTCTGGTAACAGCCCAAGACAGGAGAAGTTACAGTCACTTGAAGAATCAGCCCAATAACCTATTAACATCCTTTAAGATCCTCCCCTAGCTGGTTCCACCAAATATATTATCAAAAGAGGCCACTAAAGATTGCTCCCTGTTTGATTAAGTTTGCACAGTGCGTTTCCTTCCCTGCCCTCATTCACAGTTCCAGGAGTTCATGTCAGCTTCTCATATGTGAGAAATAGCTACATAAGCACACAAAATGCATTGTCCTCAGCACTCCCTCAGTAACAGAGTATCTTAATAACACACTTTAAAGAAGTAAAAGGGAAAAGAACATTTCTCTACAAAAGTCACACACAATTCCTCAACTACAAAATAAATTAAAATCTCTCCCAGTTCTGAATGTTTTACTGCTGCTTGGTGCCTCTACAGCTCATTTTCCTCAACACCAACAGTCATACAGCTCATATTTACAAGATCATTTCTACAGTGAGATATAATCACTCTGAAAGAGGTGCTATTTTATAAACAACACTTACTATCCTACAATTTATAATCACCATTTCTATTACTCAGTATTTTTCATAAACAGATCTCCAATAATGTTTAGAAGATTTAACTGCAGATGTGACAAAGTGAAAGCACAATTGTACAAGGCAGAATTTATCCAGGAAATAGGAACTGTGATACTTAATCTTGCAAAATAAGTGAGAGATAATTTAAAGTAAGGTATCCACAAAGAACAGTGTCTGTGCCAAGAGACTGTTTGTATTAGTTTTGCAAAGAGGGGACAGAATGTTCTTTTCCAAAGAACCACAAAACAAACTTCCTGAACCAATGTGAGCTTTCTTTTTGCTTGTATTTAATCCAAGTAAATGTGTCCTAGCCAAACTTATTTAGTATGGAGGAAAAAAAAGTCCAATAATTTGGCATAGTCTTGTCTTGAAAAAGTACAGTCACACTCCTTCAAAGTGAGTGGAACTGGTCACCTGGACAGATCTAGAACTACGGCTGCTCTGGGAAATTAGTGATAATAGTCTGGAAGTAGGTTTTTTGACCATTTTTCTAAAACCACTCTTTTCATAGCATTCTGAGCAGCTGTAACTAACTCTTTTTTTGCTGCCTCCTTTTTGTTTTTTTAACGCTAGTCTCTTGATGTGCACCAGCAGGGTTTGAGGATGTGGAGAAAAGAGAAGCCGTGTGTTAAGACGGCAATGCAGCACAGCAAAAAGAACTTGAAACCATCACATTCCAGTTTATTTAACATAATATTTTGTTTCTCTGTTTCAAGTTTTACTTCCTTTGGTGTTTCAGAAGATGATGTTCACAGGGAAAAGTTTTTTTGCAAGGCAAAGAGAACAGCATTACTGATACAGTCAAAAGAAACAAGATATCCTTTAGTGTGATGATTTTGTAACCCCTGTTTATACATAGTAATAAATTTAAAATTAAAACAACATAATATACACCCTCTACCCTACAGGAGGACACTGAGCCCCTCAAAAAACACATCAATATCTAACTCGGCAATGGTTCTGTTTACATGAACATTTGTGAAAATTTCTTCAGTAACAAAAATCCTCATTTTGTAAAACTACTTCCAGAACCTCTAGAAGTAGAGTTTTTCCCAATGTACCACAGGCATATCTGTTACATTTACCACACAAATACCCCTCTCTACTCACAGTCTGACAAGTTAATATGCAGAATTCAAATAGAAATGGAAGCTGCCACACAACTCATAGTAAGACACTTAAAAGATTACATTCAACAATATAATTATAAAATACAGCACTACAATCTCACTGTAGAACAGTTATCTTAAACAGACCAATAAAATACCACCCAAAACTGGGAAGGATATGAAAAAAAAAAGACAAACCTGATGGGCAGACAATACAACTGCAAAATGTGTTTCATGTAATGTATACTGACGCAAGTTTTGTAAATCTGAGTCAGATGTGTAAAAGCTGTCCATCTTCATTGCCAGGGGAGCTTAAAATTAATATAGTTGTTGTTGTTATTGTTATTATTATTATTATTATATCACTTCATTTGGGATGTTTATACCTTCTTTGGTTCTGTATATTATTGCCTGACTTGGTTTAATAACAGCTGTTAGATTTTCATGGCTATTTACTTGTCACTGGTTCCTTGTTTACTTCTACTCTTTTCCCAGCTTGAGTTTCTTACAGCATCGACAACAAAACGAATCAATACGATTTTTA